TCGCGAGACGCAGGACACAAAGGTGCCCTTGATTTGGCAGGGTCGACCTTTGAATCAGGGCCGACTGTAGCGGACTCCAGTTTCTGCCCCAGGTGGCCGAGCAACCTCCCCTCGGAGGCTCCCGGGAATGGCCGCGCGCCCCCAAAAAACTCCAAAAGGGGTCCAGGAGCGTCCCGAGAGCACGGGCAAGTCGGCGCCAGGCCTTACGATGGAACAGAGATGTTCCAAGGCGCACCAAGATGGTGTGATGGTGGCCTCGAGGCGGTCCAAGATAGCCCAAGAGAGCCCGATGAACTGTAAAGACGCCTCGTAATGGCTGAAAATGCGCCCTTCGGAGGCCCCCCAAGGAACGCAAAATTCATTAAACGCCTTTTTGTTCCCGACCCTCCTTCGTTCTCGCGTCCTCGTTTCGAGTCCGCAGCGCGCTCGTCTGCTCCTCCTTCCTTCCTCCTCCTCCCTTCCCCTTTTCTTCCTCGTCCGTTTTTCCCAACCATCCTGTGGTGTTGGGTCCTCGTTTTGAAAAGACAGCGCCCCGCGTCTCCCTCACTCCTCCTCCCCCTTCCTCCCTTCCCCATGCGTTTCACCCATTTCACCCACCCAATACAGCGTTTCGTGGCCCCATAGGGAGCTCCACCCAAGGCCCCAGGGGGGGGGTACCACATGCGTTCGCCACACCCAGTACGGCGTTTCGTGGCCCCATAGGGAGCTCCACCCAAGGCCCCAAGGGGGGGGTGGCCACATGCGTCCGCCACACCCAATACGGCGTTTCGTGGCCCCATAGGGAGCTCCACCTAAGGCCCTAGGGGGGGTACCACATGCGTCTGTCACACCCAGTACGGCGTCTCGTGCCTTCATGAGGAGCTCCACCTAAATAAGGCCCAGTGTGATGGGGGTTCCCACATGCGTCCGCCACGCCCAACACGGCGTTTCGTGGCCCCATAGGGACACCTAAGGCCCTGGATGGGGGGGTACCACATGCGTCTGCCACACCCAGTACGGCGTTTCGTGGCCCCATAGGGTGCTCCACCTAAGGCCCCAGTGGGGGGTGGCCACATGCGCCCGCCACACCCAATTTGGCAGTTTCACCCACCCAGTACAACGTTTCGTGGCCCTACATGAAGCTCCACCGAAGCCCCCAATGGGACCGTCCGCGTGCGTCCCGCACACCCAATTTGACATTTTCACCTGCCCACTATAACGCTTCGTGGCCCCATTTGGAACTCCACCGAAGCCCCCCGTGGGACCGTCCGCATGCGCCCGGTAAACCCAATGTGGCATTTTCACATACCCGGTACAGCGCTTCGTGGCCCCATAGGGAGCTCCACCGAAGCCCCCAGTGGGACCGTCCGCATGCGCCCCGGAAGCCTACACTGGCATTTTCACCCACCCAGTACAACGTTTCGTGGCCCCATAGGGAGCTCCACCGAACCGTCCGTATGCGTCCCACATATCCAATTTGGCATCTTCGCCCACCCAATACAACAGCGTTTCGTGGCCCCATAGGGAGCTCCACCGACGGCCCCATTGCTGCCGCCCGCATGCGTTGCTCCCCCACCCACTGCAGCGCTTCGTGGCCCCATAGGAAGCTTCACCGAAGAAGATATTCACACTTGCGGTGCCCACATCTGCGCATGGTTGGGTCCTTCGCCAGGATGATTTTTTTGAGCCGCCTCTCATCCCCGCGCCGATCAAAACCGAAAGGGAACAGGATGAAACAAAGAAGGGGCAAATCAGCTTGCCAAGAGATAGAGGCGGGGGCTGGGCGGGCGGTCCTTGCCTCCGCGTGCTCCCACCACTCCGACGCCCCTGCTTTGAGGGGCCAAGGCTTGCTGATGTGGTGGCACCTGGGCCGCGGGAGCTCGCCAGCTTCTGGGGTCTTCTTTTGGGCCTTGGGGGCCCTGTGGCGCGGCTCGAGCAATCTGCGAGGCGTCCCAGAGCAGTGGACCCCGCACCTCTTGCAACACAAACAAACCCGAGCCCCGCCTCGAGGCACCTGGAGACCCAAGGTCGGTGGCCTTTCCCAGGAGGGCCCCGAGGGGTCCCCAGGGCCAGCAGACTCGGAGTTATAGGCGCGCAAACATTGCTGCAACCAGGTGGCCAGGCAAAGGTGCGAGCACAGGCAATGCATTGCCATCTGGAGCCATTCCAACGGCAAGTGTGCGTGGTGCCTGGGGCCAGGGTCTTGGGGGCGCGGGCGCGGGCGTGCCTGGGCAAATCCCCGAAGGGCCCCCTGGACCCTGGCCACAGATCTAACATGCTGGACATCGCTTTGGCCAGTTTGAGCCATTTGTCATATGCTAATGGCAATGACTTCAATATCCTGGGCATGCAGGTGCATCGGGGCTCCCAGTTTAGCGTGCTCATCCGCCAGATCGTTCCCTCGGATATTGAGCAAATTGGTCGGATCGGTCTCCTCCTTTGCCTTTAAGTGTGCTTTTTTACACTCGTCAGGGCCAGGGGTGGGTATTTACCGTCTTCCTCCTTGCGCCGAGACTCCTGC